AATAGTAATTAATTAAATGTAAAAAATTTACCTAGTAAGATATATCTTGAATTAAATGGTATGTTTCTTCATAACCAATGTCTTTTTGAACGTTAATCAGTCTTTCAATTTGTTTTTAAGTGGAAAAAAAATTGATTAATTGTTTCACACGTGATACTAAATCTTCTACAACCTTTAAACCTTTATTAATTGCCAATTGTAAGGTATGGGCAGCACAGGAGAGTCTTTTAATTGGTTCTAAATCTCGAATGGCAGCTACTATATTAGCTCCATTATCTGCTGTTATTGATATAACTTGGCTTTCAATTTCCCATTTTTGAATATCTTTTTTGATTACTTCAGTAATTGCTTGTGCAGTATGTGGGGTTGGAAAATAAGAAATTTCAAGCAAAACATCCATTATTTCAAAATCTTTATTGATCCAAGTTGCTGTTAAACCCAAATATCCATGTTTTGAACAAGAAGACCATAAATCAGTAGTTAAAAATATTGATTGAGCAGTTTTTAAAAGTAGCTTTAATTTATCTCTATTATACCCATAACTACGAGCAATCATCATTCTTATTTTTTTTGCTCCAGGAACTGTGAATATTGGATTAATAATATGCATATGCTCAATATAGGCCTTATTAGTTACAGTAGAAAGTGGTTGGGTTGTTAAAAGAATCCATCGTAATGTAGATAATTCTTTTTCTTTTTGTCCATTAATATTGGACATAGTAGATCGAATTGGCATTGATTTATTTTCAGATGTAATACTTTCTGTAGGTGGTGTAATTCCGTGTTTAATAGCATGGTAACTAAGATTTCCTGTAGATCCATTATATTTATAGTGTTTTGAACATTTTTCCCTATCTTCTGATATAAACTGACAATATGCATGTACCTCTCCATTTTCATTTTGCTTTCTAACAAAATAATCCTATACCCAACTTACCTTTGTTTGTGGCTTGATTTTTGAAGTAGTTTGCTTAAAGGGATTTGAATCATTCAATATTTGACTTGTTGATTCAAATGCAGTTAATGATTCTTGATCTGATTTTTTACTAGTACTTGCCATTTTTTGTTTTCCAAATATTTTAAATGATTTTGCAGGGCGTCCTCTTCTTGATGGTATTAGAGTAATTTCTGCAATTTCATCACTAGAACCTTCATTTTCACTTAAGTCAATATAATTTTGATTTTCCATAATTTTATGAATTATTTTATTTATTCAATAAAATGAAATTATAAAAAAAAATCCAGAAAGATGGAAAATAAATGCACTATTTATTTATTTCAATTAAGGCTTAGAGCTAGATTAATTTTGATAAAAAATAAATAATTCATAAATCAAAATTTAATTAATAAAATTTTGCAAATTTTAATTGGCACAAATGTGTATAAATTTCAATCAAATAAATGCCACAAATTTAATCATATAAATGCCACGAATTTAATTACATAAATGCTATGAATTTAATTTAAATAAAGCCTTGCACAAATTTAAAACCATTAATTAATCAAATAAATGCCACGAATTTAAACAAATAAATGCTATGAATTTAATCATATAAATGCCACGAATTTAATTTAAATAAAGCCACAAATTAAAGCCATCAATTTAATCAAATAATGCCATGATTTTAATTAAATAAATGCCACGATTTTAATTAATAAATGTTATTGTTTTTATGATTAATTAAATAATTGCCACGAATTTAATTAAAAGCCACAAATAAGTACCACGAAATTTATTTATTAGGTTCCACAAAATTATCTGTTAAAACTGATCTACAAAAAAAATTTTTATATAAATTTATCTGGATTTCAGTTTTTATCTGGATATATCCAGATTTTTATCCAATACGGATAACCCGGATAAAAACTGGATAATTTTTTTATTTTATTCAGATGACGATTTCTATCCAGATCCAAACACTAGTGGTATGTGCACAAAAAATTTTGAAATATCCTTATGTGATTGGACGCATATGTATTACAGTATCTATTATAGTAATATAGCCATACCACTTTGCCACATAACAAATTGTACACCATTCATACAGTAACTTTTTATCGAAAAATTAACACTGTTCGCACCTTTTTATTAATATTTTAATAAAAAAGTGCAAAATGTACTATTTTAACAAATAAATGGTAATTTTTACATCATTTTAGTAATATTTTAATAGAAAAAAATGCGAAATACACTATTTTAATATAAGGGTTTTAGTTTATAGTGACCCTATCGCCATGGTAACCCTAATTATGTGATTTTATACTATATTTTGATTGGTCAACTTTTTTATTTTTGTTAAAAAATTTGCAACACTTTAATTTGCAAAAAGTTTTTAATTTTACGCAATAAAATAATGATATACTGTATAGTTAAAAATCATTTAATTAAAGTTTACTAATAGAGAAACATTGTAAAATTTATATTTTATTTTTAACAGAACTAGTAATTTTGATACACAAAAAAAAATGACAACAACAGAATAAAAAACAAAATCAAGATGAAGAACAAAACTCACGAAAAAAGTTGAAGAATTAAATGATAATAAAACCCATGAAATCAAAGAATAAAATTCATGACATTGAAAAGTAAAGCCTGTGAAGTCAAAGAGTGGTATAAAGTAAAGAAAATATAGTTAATAAAGAATAATGAAAACAAGAATCTAGAGAATAAAAAAGAAAAAAAAGAAAAAAATACTCAATGTAAAAAAAGCCTATAATAAGGTTAAAAATGAAACTTATGAATAAGTGAGTTAAAGAACAAAATAATAACAAAACCTGTAAAGTTAAGAGTAAATCGTGTTACATAATGTTGAAAAGAAAGGAGTTAAAGAATAGTATAGAGAGTCAGTAAAAAACAAATTAAAAAACAAAGGCAAGAAAAAAAAGGATGTACCTTAATTGTAAAACTGCAAGAATTTAAAGACCAATAAAAAAAGAAAAAACAAAAAATAGCAAGAAAGAACGAAAAAACATATCAAAAAAAAAATGAAAAAGAAGAAAAAAAGGAAAGGAAAATAAAATAAAAAAAGAGAAAAGGAAAATAAAATAAAAAAAAAGTCAAAAAATAAAACAAGTAAAGCGAAAATAAAGAGAAAAGGAAACAAAAAAAGGGAAAAAGAATAACGAAAAAAAGGGGAAAATAATAACAAATAACTGAAGACTGACGTAATTGTAAATATTAGTTAGCCAATCAAATTTGATGACATGATTTAGGGTCACACTGGTGATACAGGTCACCAATGACATTTTGTGAGCTCAAATGGAACGCATTTCATAAGACTTGTAAAGAGAGAATGAATGCTAAAATAATGCATGATATGGTAAAGCGAGCTCTTAAGTGGTTTGGATTTTGCTAAAAATATGTGGATTGGAAAAGGGTCAAAGTTCATGATTTCTAATACCCTTTTTTCCAAATGATTGACCAAGAGCATCCTGTGTTTTTTTCCTTCTTTCTAATGCCCTGTCATATGCTGCTTCAGCTTTCTCATATCACTTCCACAACTCAGTTTTACAATAGTTATACCAGAATCTGTTTATTTTGAGATGCTTTCTGAATTCTTCAAGCAGAAGGTTTCTGACTATTTCTACTACTTATGTCAAGGCCATTGAGGGGTGAAGCTTGCATTTGAATCCATTTACAAATTTTATAGATGTCTATAAGATCGAATCCAAGGTCTTTAGCAAAAGAAGTGGCTGCGTGCAAATTTATCATGTACATGTTACGTATTGTTTATCCTTATAGGTTACTTATAGCTTACCCATTGTTTAATTACTTATTTTTTCTGAGAGGCAGGATGAAGTTAGTCTTACGGGATCTAAAAGACCTTCTAGGAACTATTGTGTGTCAGAGTAATATGTTTGTCTAAATATGTTAGAAGTGTGGATTACTATGCTCACTTGCTCATTACGTTTGCTTCGCTTGTTTACTTCCTACAGTCACTCCTTACAGTCACTTTCTACAGTCACTTGCATATAAAGGTAATCAACCTGCTAATTAAGAAGTGTAATCTACCTGCTGACTTACTTGTTAACTTGGTTTGCTGAAGTACTTAGAACAAATTGTGAAGAAATCAGATTTTAGGATCTGAAATACTTACTATGGTGGCTTAAGTTCAGTGGCCTAGGTTCAAAAAATAGGATGGTCATACTTGGGTGTTCCAGGTGAGTATATAAAAGGTAGTCATAGCTTGAATTGGATTTTGAGGTCTGAGGGGCTGTCCAAGGTGTCCCTAGTATTATCATAAGATTTTTGAACTTAGGACAGTACTAAGGATAGAAATTCTATCTGATTTTGATTCCATTCGTGTTTTTATCTGCTTTTTGGTAATCTGTCCCTAGTATCCTTAGTGTCCCTAATGTCCTAAATAGTAAATACGAAATAAAAAAGGGTATTTATAAAAGGAGTTGGAAAATAGTAGGAACAGCCCAGGATACTAAAACCAGGTAGTATATAGGGTATGGCTGAGCCATGAAGTGTTGTAGGTACTGTAAGACTCATGGCTGAGGTGTAGAAGCATAGCAATGACACATCCAGATTGACAATAATGTTAAAAATATTAAAAATTAGTTTTTTAAGTATTAGGTATAATTTATTAATTACATATGTAATATTTATTACTACTTTTTTACCTATATCTTGCCCTTCTCTTTTTCACTTTTATATATATTTTGGGAAATTATAAATTTATTGAAATTGCCATTCTAATACTGTATTTGCCCAAAAATAAGCAATCACCGAAAATAAGCAACATGGCCCGCATTATAACAAATTTGGCCCACATTATCAAAACTTGGCCGGCATTATGTGCAAAAAACTTATTGCTTATTTTGGGCAAATACGGTATTATAAATTTGGAATAGTTAATCAAATTTGACTGAATTACTAAATTAAGAACTCTAGCAGTAATTTTATTTCATACCAATTCTTTAAGTTCAGAATTACTAAATGGGAATACTTTCTTTAATATGACCTTTAAATAGGTGAAAACCATTAGATGATTAAATCGGTTAATACCTAATACAAATCGCAAAAACTTTTATTTATAAAAAAATTTTTTTTTTCTTCAACACGAGAAATACAAGGATAAAAAAAAAAAAAAGAATAAAATATCCGAAATAATATTATAATATTTGATCCAATTGAAATAAAACAATGAAATATAATCCTAAACTTTTTTTTAACGATTATAATAATAATATTTTAAAATAAGCGAAAAACAAATAAAAAAAAAAATATAAAATGAAATTTGGGGAGCGTGATGTTAATAAAAAAATAATCGACGAAAAAATAAGTATCTGAATACGTCTTAGTTAGATACGTTTAGTTAATAGAAATAGTTTAAAATCGAAATATGAAAATTATGAAAAAAAAAAAAATATTACAAGAAAAAAAAATATATATATATAATTGTAATTTTCAAACATAGAAAAATACGGAATACCTATAAATATAAATATATAAAATTTTAAAAATATAAAAACCATCAAAAGATAGGGAAAAAATCATAAAACGCGTAAAATAATAATATAATATCCGATTTAAAAAGTCTCGGGGTGACTTGAGTACTATACTAGTAGAGTAATAAATAAGCTTATATGTTTTTTTTAAAAGCGAGATAAATACACAAAAATTCTGCATTTTTTTAATATTTTAAGTGGTTAAAGTTTTTTTTACCGGATACTTTGAAATTTTTTTTTTCTTTTTGGTTTTTTTTTTTTTTTTTTTTTTTTTTGGTTGTTATTATTTATATTATTTAATAATCATAATTTGATAAATTTTCATATATCAAGATTAGTCCAAAAAAAAATTAGTTTGTTGAAGAAGTACTTGAAGAAGCAACAGGTGCAGAAGAAATATCATCGTTTAATACACCATCTTCTAATTCTTTTACCTCTTTTGGCCAAATACCAACTAATCTAATAACACTTCCCCAAGCTAAATCAATTACCCATCTTGGTAAAACGTTATGTAATAAAACTTGGGCTTTAGCAATGGTTCCAACGACATAACGATCTTTTGGAAAACCAACTTCAACAGATTCAACAACAGTTCTAACAATTTCTTTTGGACTATCTTGACCGGAATGAATTTTTTGCCAAAATTCAATGACTTTTTGAATATAATCTTCCCCATAAAGGGTTAAAGTATTTTCAGTAATTTCAGGGGAAGAAAAAAATTTTTTAGAAATTTCTACTAAATCAGGATGTGTTAATCTTGATTTAATTGGACCAGGTTCAATCATAGTTATATGAATTTTCCATGGTAATAATTCTACACGTATGGTATCTAACATAGCTTCTAAAGCATGTTTTGAAGCACTAAAAGCGCCATAAAATGGAACTGTAGTTCTTCCTAATACAGATGTTATATTAATAATTCTTGGATGAATATCCTGATCTTTTGATGGTTTTTTCATATTATATTTAATGTTTTGTCTTAAATTAGGTAAAAGAGCTTTAATCATTTTTATTGGACCCATAAAATTTACTTCCATAGTTTTTTCAATTTGTTCAGCTGAAGTGAACTCAAATGCGAAACCTTCATTACATCCAGCATTATTAATTAATGCAAATAAACCTTTTTCTTTAGTTTCATGAGATACCATTCTTGCACATTGTTGAATTGATTGTTCTTTTGTTATATCAAGCAAGAATGGTCGAAAATTTGGTGCTGGATGAACGAGAAAATCTCTAAACGCCGTTTCGGTTAAACATCCAGCAAATACGCAATAACCCCTCCTATGTAAAGCCTTTGCAATCAAATTTCCTATACCAGAATCGCATCCGGTTACAAGAACATATCTTTCCGCAAATTTTTGATTTGGAGGGGGTGTAGCAAAGAAACTACCAACATATGAAATAATTCCCATTCGTGATATTCGAATTTTAAGAAGGGAAAAAAATAATTTTGTCGTTAAAATGAGAAAAAAAAAGGATTTAATAAAGAATATGAAATATTTTTAGGATATCGTGTAAATGGTAAAGTAATAATAATAATAGAGGATGGGGTTTCGTTAAAATAAAATTATTAATTGGGAAAACCCGTTAATAGATTGTTTGCTAAAAAAATTGAAAAAATCAAAGTTAATAAATATAAATAGATAAAACTATATATATGCATATAAATATATCCCCTTTTATTAAGTAAACATACCCAATCAATAATGAATGATTGCGAAAGGCATTGAAAGGAGGGGGTTGAATTTTTCGTTACAAGTCAACATAGAACAAAAAAAAAAAATTCAAAATTGAATCAATTTCTTGGATATTTATGTAAAAAAAAAAAAATTTTAATAATACGAATATGTACAAAGATTTAGCACATTCGCCGCGAAACACAAATGATAGTTTTTTTTTTTTTTAAAAAAAAAAAAAAAAAAAAAAAATTATATATAAAAAATATAATTTTTGACATGTGAAATTTATCTGATGATCAATTAAACTGACAAACAATCCAAAACAATATATTTGAGCCCTTTACCGAATTCGGTAACAAGATCACTTGAGAGCTTTTTTTTGTCATACGATTCAAAAAAAAGAACAAACAAAAATGCAAGATATCAAGAATTTAAACTTGTTTACTAAAAAATTTAATTCAGGGTCCGATTTAGTTATTTGAAAGCTAATTAAAATTTTTTTTTATATATATTACGTAATCACAAATTTTATGAATAAATACGCCTACATTAGGTCTTCACACTCACATAAATCTGATAAAAATGCCCGCGACAATCGATGATCAAATTTCTGTTATATATATATATAGTAATTGAGATCAAATGAATGAGAAAAAATGCGGATGGGATCCCTGCTATCTTGCAGAGATGTAAATAATACTTAAGCCCTGCATAATATCGCATTGACGCATTTACTGAAAAAAAAAAAAAAACGA